GGCATGACGAGGCACGGTAGTTTCAGCCAATGATAGTCGAGCGCAAGTAACGAGATCTCAAACAGATCGAATGAGTAGCGTCATGCTGAGTCATCCAAAGCTAATATCATGGCGGGAAATGCTGTAACTGGGCAACCCCGACTCATCCCTGCGTTCGGGGAATAAAACAAGATCGTCGTGACGGTGACGGAAATATCATCGAAGGAAGTCTTGAGCCTGGGACCTATGCACCTAGGACCATGACACATTCCTAGACAGCTCCACTAGCCAATAAGGTTGCCGACATGCGGTGGAAGTCAGCACCATCGTGCTGGCACACGCGCTAAAATGGATGTGGATTCGGCTAAGAACCACGTGAACAAGCTTTTTCTCAAACGAATAGGTATTGGCCATGTGGATAGTCTGTCCAATCGGTTGCTAATACGAGAGACAGTTGCCCGTCATAGGGCTACGATTACCACTAGCGTGCCTATTTTGTAAGGGGGATGCACAATATATTCCGATATACATCTCCAACTTGGCTTATAAAAAACAGTTTTTTCTTGGAAAACATATAGCTGGTTAGAAACAAGTGAGCATCTGTTTCCTTATTATAATCAACGTATACAGACATGTTACTAACGACATTATGCAAGAATTCGTCGCGTGTGAGAATACATTCGGCAGTCATTTGTACTTGTCTTGGGATTTGGGAATGTTTTGTGTCACAAGCACTGTGCTTCACTACGAACCATCCTCAACATGAAAGGGCTGGGGTGCATCCCTCGACCTAAACCCAAAATTCTCCACCACTTCCCACTGGGCGGGTTGCAGTTGAGACATTCCAGCCAGTCGTCTTCATCTCAATCCACCTTGGTGTACGGCAACTGTGTGTGGACTCCACACGGCTAGACTCTCCCTCTCTCGACACGGCGCTGCGGGGTTGCGGTTCTTCGGTCTTGATCATGCCGAGGCAAGGCGGCGGGAGTGGCAATAGGCTGTCGGACTGGCGCCGAGTCACGGGCGCTGCTGCCGCGAGCGGGCTGGCGGCGAGCGCGGAGGAGGGGGGAGCAGCGGAGGAGCGGGAAGGGGACGGGTTTGGAAGCGGGGAAGACGATTTTGCTGTAAACGCACCAGTGAGGGGCGCGGGCGGAGCCAGATGGGCGGAAAGACGCGCGGCTGCCGGCGGAAGCAGTAGCGGAGGTCGCGGAGGGAGGCGCAAAGGCGGGGGAGGAGGGGGAGGAGGGAGCCGTGCAACGCGCCGAGCAGGCGGATGTGTGACGTTACGGGGGGAGACAGAAACGGGGGCAGACCATTACGCTAGGGAAGCAACGAGCCGATTTGGTGCTAGCAACGATGGCGCAGCGGCGGCCCGTAGATCTCTTTCCGAGTCGGCTTTAAAGACAGCGACTCGCGAGTCATATCAGAATCAAGAGCAGGGTCAGTCGGAGATTAACGTGCTCAGGGATATGTTTGGCGGCGGCGCGGTTTCGGACGCGGAGATTAGCCACGTGTACTATCACAAGTGCCGGGGGTCGTTAGAGGCTTCGATAGAAGCACTTTTAGGGTTGGCCAACCGCGTTGACAGTACTGGATGTGACAGTATCGGGAGTGAGCGCACGGAGCGGCAGCGTAGCGACGTTAGTCTGGATCCCCACCCCGTCTCCCCGTCCTCCTCCTTCGCCTTCCCCTCCGCCTCCCCTTCCGCCTTTTCCTCCGACTCCGCTTCCGCTTCCGCCATGACCCCACCCGCTGCACCTCCTCTCGTCCGCCCATCCACGTCCTCCTCCCCGCCTCCCCTTCCGCCACTCGCCGTTCCCCCGTCATCATCCTCCGCACAGCCCGCTTCCGCGCATCCCTATCCGCCCTCCTCCTCGTCCCCCGCGCTCACGTCTCCCCCCGGCGGCGCGCCGCTGCTCGTCGCGCTACCCTGCGACCTCCAAGATCTTATCCTCTCCGCGCTTGACCTCCCCTCCCTCGCGCGCCTCGCCTGCGCCTCGCGCCACTTGCGCCACCTCATCCACCTCCGCCGGTTGGCGCTCAAGCACCTCGCGCTTCCGCGCACCCTCCCCGCATGGGCCGCGCCGTCGCTGGTCGGGGCGCACGGGGGGCTCGAGTCGCTCAGTTTGCAGCGCCTGGGGCGCTGTGAGATGGATTTCCGTTCCGTGTTTGCTGCTGCTGCGGGGGTGGGGGAGAGGGGGGAGGTGTGGGGAGCGGAGGCGGGGGGGGCAGGAGGAGCGGAAGCAGGAAAAGAGGGGGGAGGGGTGGGGAGGCAGAGACAGGAGCAGCAGCAGCAGCAGCGGCAGCAAGTGGTGGTTGGAGGGGTGGTTATGCAGCCCACTAGGTCTCTTCAGTCGATTTCATTGGCTGGCTGCGTCCACCTCAGCGACGCTGACGTGGCGTCCCTGTGCGCACTGCACCGCCGCCTGGCGTCCGTGGATCTGTCATCGTGCCGCCAGGTGACAGACGTGGCGCTGACGTGGCTGGGGCAGCACGAAAGGGAGGCAAGAGTAGAGGAGGAAAGCAACGGAATGACAGTCAAGGGGGAGGAACAGGATAGAGTAGCAACAGAGGCAACAGCAGTAACAGCGGCAGCAGCAGCAGCAAGTGATTGTGCTGGAACGGCATCAGCAGCGAGGGAGCAGCAGGGGCGGCGGCAGACAGTAACGAGTCAGCACCTGTCAGCAGCCTTGGGTGCCGCTCTCTCCTCTTGCACCCTCACCCACTCCTCCTCCACCACCACCACCACCACCACCTCCTCCTCCTCCTTTAACCCACGCTCTTCACACTCCTCTCACTCCACGCGCGGCCTCACATCGATAAACATATCCGACTGTCCCCTCATCACCAACCGTGGCCTGCAAACACTCCTACGCGCCCCTCCCATCGCATCCTCCCTCGTTTTCCTCGACATCTCCTGCTGCGGCCTCATCTCCTCCGCAGGCCTCAACTTGCCTCACTCCCTCTCTTCTCTTCGCCACCTCACTGCCTCTCATCTGCCCCTACTAGAGTCTCTCACCCTCCTCCTCCCACACTCCTGCCCGCTCGAAGAGATTTCGTTTTCTTGCTGCCCGGTTCTTCAGAAGCTTACAATCCACTCGCGCTCGCTCCGCTCTCTCAACCTCGCGGGCTGCCGCAAACTTTCCTCGCTTTCCCTCATCTGCCCGGCTCTCTCCTCCCTCATCCTCTCCCAGTGCTCTTCCCTCGAAACATTTTCCCCAGCTGACCGCTGCCCGTCTCTAGCATCCCTGAACGCGTTCCTCGTGCCGCTCCCTCCCTGCCTCCACCCTCACCACTCTCCTCACTCACGCCAAAGATCTAGAAGAGCTCAACTGTGGGGGCTGCGCGTTACTCGAGACCGTGCGGTTACCGCCTGTAACGCATGGGAAGTTAAGGAGAGTGCTTCTAGAAGGATGTCCTGTGCTGTCATCGGTAGTTGTGCCGGCCGCATCACTGCTTCTGCTGGACTGCCGCGGGTGCACTCAGCTTTGAGAGGTGCGAGTGCTTGAACACCCAACCGTTGCTGCTGAAGCGGCTGCTGCCGACACTGCCGCCGCCGCTGCTGCTGCTGCTGGTGCTGCAGGCGTTGCTGGTGCAGCTGCTACGGCATCAGCAGTGGTGCCATCGCCATCGTCAGCACTGCCAACAGCAGCCGCAGCAGCAGCAGCAGGGTGCAGGCTGGGCCGTGTTCTCCTGACCAACTGCTCCTCTCTGCAGACCCTTGTTCTCCCGTACTCCTCCATTCGCCAGTCCATCCTTGCTGCTGCCGCCTGCAGCAAGTCTCGCACCACCACCACCGACGCAATGAGCAGTAGCAGCACCACTAGGAGCACCAGCAGCAGCAGTTATGGCAGCACCAGCAGCGGGTTGAGAGGGAATGGAGGGCAGGAGGGGGCGTGGAGGGATGTTGGATCCGGTAGTGGCGTGTGCAGTGGGGACGGGGGCCTTGCAAGGGCGAGTGGGGGCGGCAGAGGGTGTGAGAGGGGGGCCGCAGGGGTGGTGTTTGAGGCGAGTGTGAGTGGGTGCATTCTTCTGCCCCGGGAAACTCAGAGAGCGCTCAAGAGCCTGTGCAAGCTTGCGCGGGCCGCTGCTTAGCCCTTATTAGTCCTGACCTGGGTCACGAGTCACGAGTCTAACTAGTGTACCATTTTTTATGTTGAGTTTCCGTCTTCCTATATTGAATCATCTGGTCCATCCTCCCCTTCAACTGCAGCACTACATAACTGAAGGTTCAATTTACAAACAGCAGTACCGTATATTAAAGGGTTCAAGGTACCGATGTGTGCCCTACCAGCAACGAGCATGTACCTACCAGAACTTGGCTGTGGTATGTCTCACCCACAGTACCCAGCAGCAACAGTCTACTGCTCATCATGATCACTGTCGGCTGGAACCACTTTATGAAGTGCCTCTTGTTGGGCTGAGTGCCCCTTAGGATCTTTGGTAGGGTTAAACTCTGGGTAGAGTGATGTAGTAGCGGAAGCGTTTAAATGAAGTCCTTGAACCACCTTGCGCTGGTATGTGAGGGCAAAGTAAGTTGATTAAAACAAGCAAGTACAAAGGTTTATATAAGAGTACAAAGAATACGAAGAGATATAATTAAACTGTTTTACTGTTGCGGTTCGATACAGTGCGACTCGGGCAACTGCTCAATGTCGAGTCAGTTGTGTGTCCTTGCTGTCGCGCTGCATTTGTCAAGTCAAAGGTCGCTGACCTTTGACTTTCGCGTAACCTCCAGCGGTTACTTCAACCTCCGAGGGTTGACTCGCTGGTGCCTCGATATGCTCTGCTTCGCTTGTGCCTTGGTGTTTCGACACGACAGAGGCGCTTAAGATTGTTTGTTCCCAACACCTCTAACATCACCTGGAGTGGCGACCTGGTCACAATGTCGATTAAATCTTTACAGTAGTATCCTCTCCTCACTCATGCTGCGACTTGCTTTTTGTCAAATCTGATCCATATCACCAAAAAACTCAGTATGCCCTTGCAAACACGTGTTAATAAAACTTCTCGCAGACCACTCAGCTGACAGCCAGCCCGCTGCTCTGTTTATCCGGGTGCAGTTGCCCGCGGAAAGCGCCGTAGGGGAACTGCAGGGAGTAGGCCTGCACGTAGAAGCGCTGCGGGCGCAGAGCCATGGCGGCTGTGATGTCGGGGTCTGCCGGCACGCACAGCTGCTGCCCGGGGATGATGCGCAGCGTCTGATACAGGTAGATGGGGCCTCGCTTGTTCAACTCGCCCTGAGGGGTGACGCAGGGGGGTGGGGGTTGGAGGACGGAAAATGGAGGTGACTTTGAGGTGCCTCGAAAGTCAAATGCTACCCAGGCTTCATTTGCAACATGGAACAGGCGGATGGGGAATGGAGGCTAGGTGTGGGTAGGATGGACATGAAGGGGGGGGATTGCACTGATCGAAAGGGGTTGCAGTGCAGGGATCAAGTGAAACTCGGTGGTACCTGGTGCAGGTAGGCATAGTTGCAGTCAGTCTTGACAGAGGAGGAGAAGCGGAAGGTGTAGCAGATGCCGCCCCCGCCCAGCACAGCATCAAAGAAGCCCATGCCCGGTGCGCCCGACCCCTGCCCCTGTGTCGCGGTGGTGCCGGGGAAGTTGACGACACTGGCGCCGTACATCACTGCTGTCACGTACATTGTGTCCTGGAACTGGCCCCTCAGCGCGCCGACTGCCAAAGAATGAACAGGGGAGAGGGGACGAGGGGGATGGAAGAGAAAGAGTTGACGACACACGGCGCCGTACATCACTGCTGTCACGTACATCGTGTCCTGGAACTGCCCTCGCAGCGCGCCGACTGAAAGAGAAGAGTGGGAAACAGGGGGAAATGGGTGGATGAAGGGGGGTTGACGACACTGGCGCAGTACATCACTGCTGTCACGTACATCGTGTCCTGGAACTTCCCCCTCAGGGCCCTGACTGAAAGGGAGAGATGAGGGAAGTCAGAAGGGTTGCAGGGAAGTGGAAGTTTACAGTGAGGACATGGGTGGACAAGGGTAAACAAGTCAGAGAAGTAGTGGGGCATGACCGGGGGAAGGAACACGAGGAGAATCGAACCAGCAGAAGCATGAAGAGGAGTGGCACACACAGCGGAGCGGAAGCAAAACATGTCAAGACCGCAGTCACAGCGCAATACAGACATACAACATACGTGGCATCAGCTGCGTGGTCAGGTAGACGTAGTGTGCGTGGGACGAATTCTGCAGCATCTTAAGTAATAGCTGAGAGGACTTTTTGGGCACCTCAAAGGCCACAGTCACACGGCTGAACATACAGCAATACGGCACACTGGGCTACATACATGGCATGAGCTGCGTGGTGAAGTAGATGTAGTGTGCTTGGGGCGCCGTCAGCAGCGACTGGATGGCCGTGACAGGTGGCGTGACGCCATTGGTGAAGGAGGGCGCGTTGGCGCCCGGCCAGAAGAAGTCAAAGAGGCGCGCACCGGACGAGCCTGCTACTCCCTGGATCACTGACGCGCCTATGATGCCCGCCACCCCTGATGAGTACGCAAATGAGTACACGATGCTGGGGAGTGGGGAGTCGGGAGTGGGTAGTAGGGAGTGGGGAGTGGGGAGGAAGGAGGGGACGGGATGCAGGTGAGGGGATGATGATGATGCAGCATCTGTTGAAGAAGAATAGGGCGCCTAACGAGTCTGCTATGACGGACGAGCATGCAAACGAGAAGCATGATGGTGGGGAATGGGGAGGAGGTGGAGAGGCGATAGGGGCGGAGGGAGCGGAGATGATGCATGTGGGGGATGTTGCAGCACATGCTGGGGCCATCCCCACCACACAGCTTGCTAATTCCGGAGGTGCTTCAAAAAGGAGCGCAAGCAAGGGCGAGCGCGAGCAAGGGCTTGCGGGAGAAAGGGCAGGCGAGCGACATACTTGGTGGGCGAGATATCAAGGTCCACAATGGCCATGCAATCCCCGCTTGCACAGCTCGTGGGCACGTTCCTGGACGTGGCAAGGCTGAACAGGTGCGGGGAGAACACCAGCTGCCCGCGCAGGCTACCCGCCGGGGTATCCACCTGGATATAGAAACTATACGGCTCTAGAGTCATGCGCTGCAGCAGCCCCAGCGCCGTATCCACCCGCCCTGTCCCGTCCGATCCCATCGTCTGATTTGCCTGCGCCGCCAGCAGCGGGAGTGTCAGCGGCCCTTCGGAGCCCATTATCGAATTGTACACGCTGGCCCCCGTTATTTGGAGGGGGGCAGTGGGAGCGGTGGAAGAGGAGGAGGTGGAGGAGGAGGAGGCGGCGGCGGGTGCGGAGGAGAGCTGGATGAGGAAGTTCACTCCAGCCATGGCTGTCATGTTGGGCTGTAGGTCTAGTACTGCCACTCCGCGTCCAGACGGGGCGGCTGGAGAGACATGGGGGGACGACAATGGCAAGAGGGCACGTGCAGGCGAGGGAACAGATGGGCGGATAAGTCAGGGGCGAGGGGAGTGGAGATGGGAGGAGGTGGCGGAAGGGAGGGCGGGAGGTAACGACGATGTAATTTGGGGGATTTGAAGGATGGAGCAGCGGTTATGGCGATAAGGAGGGTGGGGAGCACGAGGGAGCAGTGCCAGTGATGTTCGGGCTTTCGACTGTGCAGCATTTGCGTGCTTAAGTTGGCGCATGTTGAGTGGGGAGGGGGCAGAGACGGGGAATTGGGAGGTAAAGGGGGAGGGGGACAGTGGGAGGCGGAAAGTGGGAGGCGGAAAGTGGGAGGGGGAAAGTGGGAGGGGGAAAGCGGGAGGGGGAAAGTGGGAGGGGGAAAGTGGAGGGAGGAAGTGGAGGGAGGAAGTGGAGGTAGGAAGTGGGAGGAAGGAAGGGAGGCGCGGGTCGTACCAGTGGAGTTGCCAGTGGTGACCACGTGTTGGGGCGTCAGCAACGCGTACAGGGTTGGCACGAACGTGCAGCGAGCGCCGTAAAAGCACTGCGGTGGGATATGGCGGCGAGGGGCGCAAGGAGGGGGAGAAGTGGTCAACGGAGAGATAACCGAATGACTCAGCATATAAACAGGATGGCTGGAGGGTGGGTGGTGGGTGCAGCAGGCAAGGATGGATATAACGGTCAAGAACGGAGGTCACAAGGAATGACTGTGAACTGCAGCAGCAAGCGGGGATCAAACGGGTGAGGGTGTGAGGGGGAGAAGGATGGGTGAAAAAGGGGGGATAAGGGAACGCACGTAAGAGTCGCAGTTTCGGACGTAGGCGACGCGGCGGTCGATCCCGGGGCAGATGCGGATCATCTGGCTAGCGATGGCGCTGTAGCAGTCGCATACTTGGTCTGGCACCTTCCACACGTTCCGCCGCAGCTGATTCATGGCGGCCACGCACGTCGACACGTAGTCGCTGTAGCACGCGCCGTCGTACGGGAGCGCGGAGCACACGCGGCACACGTCCATGATGTTCGTGATCACTCCCACGTTCGGCACGCGCACTGCGCGGGAGAACGGGCAAGCGGAAGGAAGAAGCGGGCGAGTTTTAGAAAGAAACGGGAGAGAGCTACAAGAAGATCGATGTAAACAGCGCAGGGGAGAAACAATGATATGTTGCGCGGATAGGAAGGTGTGGCGAGTGAACCATACCGTCTCCTCCCAGACCTGCTTCTCTCTCTTAAGTCTCTTTAAAGTAACACATTTCCAACCAGCTCGCTTCTACCTCCCTTAGCGATCCAGGTCAACAATTTGCGAGCGCGAAAGCGAGAACGGCACGGAGCCCTGACTCACGGGCAGGAGGAGCAGGAGGATAGGGCGGCGGCGGCACGTCAGGGGGGATGTTCTTCATGCTGGAGTACGGCCATGGCGGCTGCTGCACGGCCGCAATCGGCGTCAGCCGGAGAGGAGCCGGCGGCGGCTTTACTACCGGCTTGACGGGAGACTTGGGTGGCGGAACCTGCGGTGGTCTGGCAGGTGGCTTGGCCGGCGGCTTGACCGGCGGCTTTGCCGGTGGTTTTGCTGGCGGAGCGGCAGTCAGCTTCGCAACGGGAATCGGAGGATTTTTCTTCAGCACTGGTGCTGGTGTTTTGGTTGGCGTCTTAGCTGGCGCTTTGGATGGTGGAGGCTTCTTAACGCTGGCGGCTTTGGTGGTAGCATAGATGGATTTGGGCATGGGTGGTGGTGTGGGTAGCTTGGCGGCGACTTGTATGGGTGGCTTGGTGGCTTGTGCATGTAGCTTAGCGGCTCCTGTGGAAAGGAAGGAGGAGGCAACCCCCTGCAGTGGCTGTACACCCACATGTAGAGTCTGACCGAATGCACCTGGCCGGGATGGGAAGGCATGCAAGGTAGGTAAGGAGGAACGAGAGGGAAGGAGGCAAGAGCAATGAAGAAACTAGGAAATGGGAAGCATCATGTTTTCAATGGTGGTTTGTATCAGACAGCCTAGAAAACAGAGATAATAAAAAATGGGGTATACCAGCGATCGACTGGCGAATCCAAGCACAAAAGAGTACAGGATAAGAGGTCGCGAGCTATGAAGATGATATGAGCGTGAGCCAGAGGATCAAACGTGTTCGAGGTAGTCTTCATGACGTACCAGACGTGCACGCTTGAAAAATAACCAGGATCAGTGTTGCGCCCGCAATGGCCGCATAGTTACTTCGCTGAGGCGTTACCGGGCCCATTGTCGCGTCCTGATACTCTCAAACACCTATTGAAAGGAGAGACGTTTTGCTTTGAGGCTCTTGGACCTGGTTTCAAAGTCGCCTCCTAGTACTCTCACTCTGTTCCTGCATCAGCGGTCTGTCTGATGCATCTTCCGACTGAACTGACGACTGGATTTAGTATCATCCACGCTCAGAAAAGCGCCTGTTCCCTGGGGGGATTTCAGGAAACCGCCAGGTGATGGTCGGTCCGGACGAGCCGCCAGCAAGCCACGTCCAGTTTTTGAAATCGTGAATGAGAATGGACCAGATAACTCAGAGATGGGTGATGAAAATAGGGAAGGAACGACCAGAGGGGTGGTTTTCGGGAAGGGGAGGGGGGAGGGGAGAGAGAGGGAGGGGGAAGGAGGGGAGGATGTGAGCCTTCTCACTGGTCTTCCCCAATCCTTCAATCACAAGCCTTCCCTCCCTCCCCTCCTCCCCCATCCAGTGTGGTGACTCTGGGGGAAAATCGCGCCAAGGTTGGGAATGAGCAGTTCCCAGGGTGGGACCTTGGGAAAATCGGGATTTGCCTATGGAACTTCGGTATTGGCGGACCGATGTCGGTTCAGTTGGGATTTTTGGGAAATGGCCCCAGAGGTTTGGCGCCTGGCTGGTTAGTTCGGGTGACGGTGAGATCTGACGGACGGCGAGTATGGACAAGGGAGGGTGGACGGAGATTTCGTGGCCCGGATGCGAGGCGTAATTTTCGCGCCATAAATTATTGCGGCTTTGGTTGCTGATTGGCAGTTAGGAATATTGAAAACGCGAGATTGCAGGCAACAACGACGGCTGTCAGACAGATTATTGTGAGACCAATCAGACTAGTTTATTCGTCAGGTGCCTACCCGATGCGATACACTTGCCGATGCTCAAAGCAATATGGTATACAGAAAAGATATTCCGCTCATATATACATTTATGGACACTAAATGCCTCCAGATAATGTGGATGACACACTCTAGCTATTTCAAGCAAGCTAAGGAAGAATAGACCCCACCCTTCGCCAGCAACTCCTCGTGTTTCCCTTGCTCCACAACACTACCATTCTGAAGCACTACAATTTTGTCAGCATGTACAATGGTCGACAACCTATGTGCAATGACTAGAGTGGTGCGATTCTTCATTACCTTTTCCAGTGCTGTCTGCACCACCTTCTCGCTCTCCGCATCCAGAGCTGACGTGGCCTCATCCAGCAGCAGCAGGCACGGGTCACCAATGATGGCGCGAGCGATGGCGATGCGCTGCTTCTGCCCGCCGGAGATCTGCACGCCTCGCTCCCCCACCAGCGTGGCGTACCCCTGCGGCAGCCCCGAGATGAACCCGTGCACATTCGCCGCCCGCGCCGCCTCCACAATCTCCGCCTCGCTGATCTCCCCCCCGCTGGCGCCGCCGCTGCCGGCGCGGCCGTAGGCGATGTTGTCGCGGATGGAGATGTTGAAGAGCGCTGGCTCCTGGCTGACGAGGCCCATGTGTTGGCGCAGCCAGCGCAGGTTGAGAGCAGCGATGCTGCGGCCGTCCAGCAGCACGGCTCCGCTCTGCGGGTCGTAGAATCGCTCCACCAGCGCCACCACCGTCGACTTGCCGCTGCCACTCTCCCCCACCAGCGCCACCGTCTGCATGGGAATATTGGGAGAAGGGGGAAGCAGGGACGAGGGAGAAAGGGACATCGAAGAAAAGGGAGGAGGGGAGGGGGGTTCAATAAGAACACATGGTGGACATTATTCTTCTTATGAAACTGTCCAACTGCACTGAATTTGCTGCACAATGTACCTCTACCATTCTGCAATCCAGTCCCACGCACCTGGCCTGCAGTAACGACCAGGTTGAAGTCCTGAAGCACAACAACACTGGGTCGAGCCGGGTAAGCGAAGCACACGGCGTGGAACTGCACCTCGCCCAGCACCTCCTCGGGCTCCTCCCCTCCTGCCTCCGGGTCAATCTTTGACTGGCGGTCCAAAATGCGGAATATGGAGTTCACTGCTGTCTGAACCGTGGCCATGTCCGGGGCCAGTGCGGACTGCTTTGCCACGCTCATTGCTGACATGGCTATGGCGAAGAACACCTGGCGAGAAAAGGTGCGAGATAAGGTGGGAGGGTGGATGAGGCAGGTCGCTGGAGCATAGAGCATGGTGTATGGTACATGGAGCACAGAGTAAAGTGCATGGAGAGTGGCGCATGCACATGTGCATGGCGCATGATGGTGCAAGGTGCGCGGAGCATGGAGCATGGTGCATGGTGCATGGTGCATGGTGCATGGAGAATTGTGCATGGTGCATGGAAACAGCTGCACATCGTCTATGGCCAATGGAGCCTGGTGCACAGCACATCACAACACATGGCACGCACCTGGAAGACATCAGTGAAGGTCGCATAGCCCCATTCCACGAGCTTCCCCCCCAACCAGAACGACAGCGCATACACCGCAAAGATAGCAAACTGCCCAAACGCCAGCCCGGCGCCGCTGACGTGGGCCTTGCGGATGCCGGCCCGGATGGGTGTGCTGCAGCGCTCGTTGTACAGCTCCTGTACGCGCTGCTCCGCTCCAAACGCCGCCACCGTGCGCATCGCACCCACCGCGTCGTTCGCCACCCGCGACGCCTCCTGAAACTGCTCCTTGGCATCATCTGCAAACCCCTGAATCGCCCGAATCTGCATCGTCCCCGCGATCGCCAGCAGTGGTATCAGAGCGAGCACCAGCAGCGACAACTGCCAGTTGGCTCGAAACGCGATGACCAAGCCCGTGCAGAGCGTTGCTGTGTTCTGCACGATCAAGGCTAGCTGATCCCCCACCATGTTCCGCACTTGCGCAGCATCAGTAGCAAGCCTGGCCCCGATAGCCCCGCTGGAATTCTCCTCCATGTCAAACCAACCGATCTCCTGCCGCAGCACCGTGGCAAAGCACATGACCCGCACGCGGCGGATGAGCGCGTTCCCCACGACGCCGAAGAACATGTACTGGAAGAAGGAGGTGACGCACGCTGACGCCCCCAGCACCACGAAGAGCGACGCCCAGAAGTCCGCATCGCTGCGCATCTGGGAGATGTCTGGGTTGTAGAAGGTGGTGATGATGTTGGAGAGGATGAGCGCGAAGAACGGGATGATGAACCCGTAGCATGCGGCGAAGATGGTGCCCACAAGCGCGTACGGCCACTCGGGCTTGTTGAGGGTCGCCAGGCGGATGATCGACGTGTGCTTCTTCTCTTTCTTCTCCTCCTCATCCTCCTCCTTCTCCTCCGCACCTGCCTCTTCCTTCGCTTCGGACCCCTTGTGGACCTCTCCGTTCCCTGTCTTCCCTCCCTTCCCTCCCTTCCGCATTCGCCGCAGCAGCCTGCTACAGAGGCCTCTTCGGTCTTTCCCTTCCCCTTCCCCCTCCCCCTGCTCATCTCCCTTCCCGCTCTCCACATCCCTTTCCTCGCTCATCCGCGCACCTTCCTGCCCCCTTCCGTCCCCTTCGTCCCACCGTCACCAGTCGTGGCTACACCAACAGCACCTGCCAGCACTCCTTCCACCCCTGCTTCACCCGTTGATGCTGCTTCCTGTGGAACTGAGACCCCCTTCGCATCAGCACCGGCGTGAATCAAACTCAAACCTCCCTTCTCACCCCCCTCCACACCCCCTCCCACTTCCCCCTTCCCCTCCTCTCCCCCTCCTTCGCCCGCGAGTTGCTGCAGGCGGACGAGTTGGGCGTAGGCGCCTTGCGGCTGGGCGAGCAGCGCGGCATGGGTGCCGGTCTGCACGACCTGCCCGCGCTGCAGCACGGCGATGCAGTGCGCGCGGCGCACGGTGGACAGGCGGTGCGCCACCACGAGCGTGGTGCGCGCGCCCATGAGCGCATCGAGCGCCGCCTGCACCGCCTGCTCGCTCTCCGCGTCCAACGCGGACGTCGCCTCGTCCAGCAGCAGCACCCGCGGATTCGGCAGAATCGCCCTCGCGATCGCCACCCGCTGCTTCTGCCCCCCCGACAGCTGCGTGCCCCTCTCCCCCACCTGCGTCTCGTATCCCTGCGTTATGGGGGGGGTTGAGGGGGGGCAGGGGTTGGGGTTATAAGCCAGGGCCCAGGAGGGGCATGGGAGGCCCTCTCCCCCACCTGCGTCTCGTAGCCCTGAAGAGGGGACGGTGAAGCAAAGGGCGGAAGGAAGGAGATTGGACGAAGGATAGATGGCAGCAGAAGCAAGTACGGAGCAGAGCCACACGCCGCACAAGCGAAAGAGGGTGCATATGGGGTGAAACGGAGGGAGATAGAGGGCGATAATGGGTTGCAGAGAGGGCGCACGTACGTTGGGCAGCGACTCGATGAAGTGGTGGATGTTGGCAAGGCGTGCGGCCTCTCGGATCTCCTCATCAGTAGCGCCGTCCTTGCCATAGGCGATGTTCTGGCGGATGCTCGTGCCGAAGAGCGCTGGCTCCTGGCTGACGAGGCCCATGTGTTGGCGCAGCCAGCGCAGGTTGAGAGCGGCGATGCTGCGGCCGTCCAGCAGCACGGCTCCGCTCTGCGGGTCGTAGAATCGCTCCACCAGCGCCACCACCGTCGACTTGCCGCTGCCACTCTCCCCCACCAGCGCCATGGTCCGCCCCGCCGGCACCTCCAGGCTGAAGCTCTGAAATATGGGCACGTCTGGCCGCGACGGGTACGCAAACGTCACCTCGCGCAGCTCCAGCGCTCCCTCGCACGCCGCCGGGCGCTCCCCCTCCTCGCTGCTGCTGTCTATCGGGGGCTGCCTCTCCAGCACCTCAAAGATCTTCCCTGCCGCTGCCTGCCCTGAGGCGAAGGCTGTTACTTCTGGTGCCACCTGCCCCAGAGATCTGCGGGAAGGGCAGGGGCGAGGGTGACAGAGGGGAAGCCGGGGGGTTGAGTCGCCTCATACTCCACGCCCCACATTCCCACACTCACAACTCCCTATCGACACGCTCACAAGCTCCCATTTTCACACTCACCACCCCCCATTCTCACGCTCACAAGCTCCCATTTTCACACTCACCACCCCCCATTCTCACGCTCACAATCCCCCATTCTCAAACTCACAATCCCCCATTCTCAAACTCACAATCCCCCATTCTCACACTCACAGCCACCCCAAAACACACACTCCCTCCCATCACAACCCTCCCGAAGCACACACACACTCACACGCCGCCGATGATAACGCCGAACAGCACGGTGAAGACGTCTCCCCCCGTGTAGCCCGCATCGGCGATCATCTTGGAGCCGTACCACAGCGCGAGCGCGTACGAGGAGAACATGATGAACACCGTCACGCCCAGCCCCGCCCCCGCCGCTACTGACTGCTTCACGCCCTCGCGAAACGCCCTGTTGAGCTTCAACGAGTACTGCTGCACCGCCCTGTGCTCGCCCGTGAATGCCGCCACCTGGGAGGGGAGGAGGGAGAGGGGAGGGGAGGGGTGGGTGGGTGTGGTATGGAGCGAGAGAGCATAGAAGGAGAGTGTTGTTGTAAGGAACATGGAAGCAGGGAGGAGAGTAGTGTGGGGGTGAAAGGGTTTGCGGGGAGAGGTGCCGGGGAAAGAGGTACAGAGGAAGAGAACGTGCTTGTGCAGTGTTGCTCATAATCCACAGGAGATGCAGAATGTCGCTTCTGTCATGGTGATGTTACCATGTGGTATAACATGAGCAAGCGCAATCTCCAAACCTGCGCTGCGGGTGAGTAAGGGCCATGTACAGGCATGCTCTGCTCTGCTTGCAGCGCTTGGGTTGGAACCTAATACTCTGCCGTGACATGAGACCTCATGGGCCACATGGGGCCGAATGGAGCCAAATGGGGCCTGGAAAGGGCACGATGCCACACCATGAATCCCCTTAAGCTCACCGTGAGAATGGCGGAAACACACTCCTCCACAATGACCCCAGCAGCGCCGTACGCGAGCTGCCCCTTGGAGGAGGAGATGGAGATCATGAGCGCCATCATGGCGCCCGCGCCCGCGCGAAGAGGCTTACCGAGGGCTGATGGGGCCTGATCCAGCTCGTAGTTGATGGGACCTGATGGGACCTGATGGGGCCTGATGGGGCCAGTTCAAGTCTAGAACCTGCAGCACGCCACACCACGAATCACCTGAAGCTCACCGTGCGAATTGCAGAGACACACTCCTCCACGATCACTCCAGCAGCGCCGTACGCGATCTGCCCTTTGGAGGAGGAGATGGAGATCATGAGCGCCATCATGGCGCCCGCCCCTGCGAGCAGAGGCAGCGTGGCGAGCATGAGCAGCGCCAGCTGCCACCCCGCCAGGAACGCGATGATGAACCCGCCCGCGAACTGCGCCATGTAGCGCAGGAACGAGCCCACTTGGGACGGGGGAGGAGGGAGGAGGGGTTTGAAAGGGGAGGGGATGGGGGAGGAAGGGAGAAGGAGAACGAGGGGGCTTGAGTGACGGGGCTTGCAAAGCCAGGAACGCGATGATGAACCGGCCTGCGAACTGCGCCATGTAGCGCAGGAACGAGCCCACCTGGGAGGGGTGGAGGGCGGAAGAAGGGGGCAGACAGGGAAGGTGTCTTTGACGGGGCAGGAAGGAACGTGATGACATGGTGACGCTCCTGCCCAGCTGCGCCATGTAGTGCTGGGACGAGCTCGCCGGGACCTGTGGGGGGGGAGGGAGCAGGAGGAGGGGCCGGGCCGAGAGGCAAGGGGAGGGGATAGGGGCGGGGAGAGGAGGGAAGAAGGGAATTTTGCTTTAATGAGGGGTTTGAGACTGGAGTGCAGAGGTAGAAAGTAACAAGTAACCCATGTGGAGCAGACGGAGCTGTCGGAGCAGACGGAGGAGACTAGCAGAGAGGAGTGCAGCCAGGGACTAATAGATACAATAAAACTCCTTCCTCTACCCATGCCCACCACATCCGCCTTCCCTTCTCCCACATGGCATCATGCGCCCTCCCTCCTCCCTCTGCCCACCTGCGGTCACCTCCTCCCCGCTGCCACTGTGCGTGCAACTCCCCCTCCCTGCCACTGCGCGTGCACCTCCCCCTCCTTGCCCTGTGCGCGCACCTTCTTCCCACCCCATGCCCATGCCCCCTGTGCGCGCAATCTCCCCCCTCCCCTCCCCCTTGCCCCCCTGAGCGCACCTTCTTCCCCCCACCCTTACCCGGACCTCCTTCCCCCCTTTTGCCCCCCTGCGCTCAACTCACCTCCCGCTAGCCCCATGCACGCACCTTCTCGCCCATGGCGTCCTGCACGCACCTTCTCGCCCATGGCGTCCTGCACGAGCACGATGTCGCCCGACATGTGCCCGATGACCTCGCCCGTGCTCAGCCGCCGGTCGAAGTACGCCATGTCCTGCCGCAGCACCGCCGCCAGGTACCGCCGCCGCACCCGCGCCGCCTGCCGCTCGCCCGTCGTCATCCAACACGCCATCTCTGCCACCGCGCGCACGGCACGGCACGGCACGTGGGGACGGTGGGGAGGAGAGAGAATATGTGGGTGGGCGGTGGGAAGGGAGGGGAGGGTGGGTGGATGAGGAATCTTTTGTTGACTAAAGTTTTGGGACCAAGAAAGGGCGGAATGACAGAGGAACAGAATTTGTGTGAGAGCTCGGGGTGGTGAAAGTGGAAACGAGTAGCTAAGTAGGAAGGGACGGGGAGGCGGGGCGGAGGGGGAGTGGAGGGGAACGCTGGCTTGGAGCATTGAAGATATATCAATGAATAAGGAGCAATTGAGGAAATATTAATGAAAAGAGAGCAACGAAGAGATATTGCTGAAGAAAGAATTTCGAATAAATATCGAAGGAGGAGGAGCAATGAAGAAAGAGAGTGCGTGCGATGCTGCTGCGAGAGCGAGTGTGGAACCTTTGCAGGGGACATGCACACGGGCGCAGCACTCACCAATGTACCCAGCAACACCTGCGCCGATAGCCAGGTATACAAACTTAATGGATACCTGCAGAGCAATCAGCGAGAAGTTCGGGGAGCACGGAGGAAGACACGGGAAGAAGGCAGAAAAGATACATTATCAGGTGCGGTTTCATCCCAACGCGGCTCTCACCCACTCCTCAGCCTTTACGGAGAAGTGAATTGGGCAGGGGACAAGGTCAGGCTGCTGTGTACAGCGTCTCAAGAAGCATCGTTGCCTTTCCAAACCCCACTGCATCACACGCAATGCTCTCATACACCCTGCTGCCCGGGACACTAAGAATCGGAAGGACACAGCTTATCCACTTGCCTGACCACTGAAACACCGAAGCATGCATCAATTCCATTCGTGAACCCCGTCAAATTCAATCCCCCAGAAGTCGACCCTCATAGTAAACAAATCCTTCAGTCGATTCTCCATCCGTCGACTCCCCCAATCAATCAGTCCCCCATCATTCAACTTCCCCACTCCCTGCCCTTTCCCCCCTTTCCCCACTCAGCGCGCACGTCAGTGACAGCGACGAGCAGCGCGGAGGGGTCGGCGGAGTTCTGCCCGAACGCGTCCGTAAGGTCGCCAAACAGCAGCGAGATGAGCGGAAACGCGACGCCCAGCCCGATGGCGGCCGTGGACCCGCACAGCATGAGCAGCACGTCCCACCCGTCCGCGAACTTGAAGAGCTCCCAGAAGTGAACCTTTCGTACGGCTTCTGAATCACTTTCCTCGCTTGAGTCTCCTGGAAGATTCTTCTCTTCCTGTTTTTCCTGTTTTTCTGAATCTTCCTGGTTAGGTTTCGCGCCATCGGTGTGGTGGGTTTCCTTGGCTACGACTAGCTTACGACTATCTTCGTCAGCTTCGCTCTCATCCATGTTTTCGAACCTTTACGCTCGTCTATACAATCAGCTGTTCCTCGATGCCTTTCTGTGAAATGACCCGAAGCCTTGACGTTGGCTAGATGGAGGAAAAGAATAGTACCACGCTGAGCTGAAAAATGTCATGGAGATGCCGTGATAAGGGACTCGGAACAAGAATCTCTCTCAAGAAAGAGGAAGCTCGAGAATGGACATGGCAAGCAATTTTGGCTGGACATTGAGAATGTCACACCACTGTGGATTTTGTCTCTCGGGAGTCGGGAATTTCCGAACCGACTCGAAATCATTTCCGAGTCGCCCCAACTGTTGTCAGGACATGGAGGGCAGACGAATCATGCCCATTCCAGCTCGTCGGACTTGCTGACATCGTTGAAGAGCACGTGGCATATGACGCATGTGTTCTTCGCTGGGTGTGGGTTGAAAGCTGACACGACACCTCAACATACGCTAGTAATCTTCCCCTAGGTTCCACCCTGGCTGCTGATTTCCTCTGTAGTGTCTTCAGAAACTGCTACTGGCCAATCCGGGTGGAGCCTGATTGCGTGGCGAGGACGAGAACTGTGTCATAGATGTTACGGCAAACATGCGTCAGACGGTGCCCCAATCGATGTTGGCAGCTGAACCTCTGTTGTCCACAACTCAACAGCTTTGGCAAATCCAAATAGAAGACCACCTCCTCGTATGACGTCACATGACAGTACCTCGCGCCTTCTTCAGACAGTTACCAAATAACCACAAAGTGGTACAGCAAACAGCAATGGGAAGTTTTGCTGGTTGCAAGAGGCGAAATCTGGCGAAGCTTCATCTGACAAAACCTTCACGCCACGCAGTTCCTCCAGTACATACAGATGGCGACGTGGAGAGGAGGCAGCAAGCTAGGAAAAAATATCTCCTGGTCTTTTTTTCTGCTCCGTCATTTCGAAGTGCACTGCTGCTCCAGTAAAAAAAAATAGCACCAAATATTAATGTATTAGGCAGCCGAAGCCCATTTTACTGGCCTTTTGTGTCACTATGAATGCATAACTTGAAAACGTTTTGGAAATTAAACGTGACCTGCGGTGTCCGTACCAGCACCGAGCTTGTCGGTGAGGTTCGGCATGGACAAAACCGCAAGTTCCGCTTGCCTTGGTGGTGCCTCCACGAAACTCCCAAGACCACTCGAGTGTGCAATGTACCTGTACTGTATTCTTCCCGCCATGCCACGCCGCTTCACCACTGACAAGCACGCAGTGCTCCATCCAGCAATGCACCGCCCTATTCGCTGGCCTTGCTGGCACGCGGCCTTTCTGCTCACTCAGCTCTCGCACTTTACGCATTAGAAAGGTATTCCAAAGCAGCCTGCTTTTCATATGCCTGCCATGCCAGCCACATCCTTCTAGCACAGTACTGTAACATTTAGATCGCAGGACGGTACGCGACATCTCCATCAGATCCCAACCGAGGCCAATAACACGGTCAGACCATAACAGTACCAACTCGCTTCCGTAATGCATTAGTTGCAGGCTGAGTGTGTTGCATTCACTGTCTTCTCGGCGCGGTTCGGTGAAGCAATCATGGGATCCGATTTCGAAGCCCTTTGTGAATCGGACGACAATGGCCGTCAAGCCCAAGCCGATGAAACGTCAGATCCTTCAGCCGCTACAGTTACTTCCGCCGAGAAGAATCACGAGGGGGTGAGCGCAGCCAACGGCGAGGCGTTAGAACCAGGCGATGAAAAGAAGCTAGCAGAGAGCAAGGAAGCGGCGAAGGAAGAGGACGTACCGCCGGTGTATTACTGGCAGCTGTTCAAGTTTGCGGATAAATGGGACATTCTGCTCATGATCGTGGGATCCGTGTGCGCCGTCGGGCTCGGCATGGCCATGCCCATGATCTCGCTGCTCTTCGGCGAGTTAACGAACGCCTTTGGTCAGAACACCACCGACGTTAATAAGCTCATGGACGCCGTCACCAGTGTGAGTCGCGTGCTCTAACTCACTCTGGTTTTACCTTGGCGCTAACTTGTCCTGGCTTTGCCTGTTGATCACGATAGACTGATGCAGTATTGCGAAAGCCTTCACTTCTCGACCGCGTCCATTTTGCGAAAGCCTTCACTTCTCGACTAGACGAGACGACACTCAGAGTGCTCTCTCCGTTTTAGGGGATTCTCATTGTTCTCCCTCGGATCTGTTTCTACTTATCTCTTTTCCGCGAACCCTCCAGGTCGCTCAAGTTCCTTTACTTGGCCATTGGAGCCGCCGTGGCCGCATATCTCGGTTCGTGCACGCATCCCTTCTCTTTTGATTCCCGCTTTCCCGCCTTCTTTCCCCCCTTCTTTCCCGCCTTCCCGCTGTAGCGTCGTTCCGCTTCTGCCCCACCGTGTTTGCTAATCTCCTGTCCTTGCGTTCCCTCGCTTCCGTCTCGAGGTCCACGACCACACCCCTCCCCTCACTCCTCCTTTCGTCTTCGCTTTCATCTCGAGGTCCAACCAACTAACGGCAACCAATTCACCCTTCCCCCCCGCGGTCCCCGCGTGTGTTCCGCGCGGTGGCAGAGATGGCGTGCTGGATGACGACGGGCGAGCGGCAGGCGGCGCGGGTGCGGCGGCGGTACCTGGCGGCGGTGCTGCGGCAGGACATGGCGTACTTCGACCGGCGGCTGAGCACGGGCGAGGTCATCGGGCACATGTCGGGCGACATCGTGCTCGTGCAGGACGCCATGGGCGAGAAGGTGCGTGCAGGACGCCATGGGCGAGAAGGTGCGTGCAGGCCGCCATGGGGGAGAAAATGAGTGCCGTATCCCCCGCGCCTCCGCAGGTGGGCATTTTCCTCCGCTTTTGTCGCAGTCAGAAGGCACGTTCATAAACCCCTTTCTGCTTTTACCAGCCCTCTCAGTCACGCCCTTCGCTCTCCCTCTCCCCGCCTCCCCCATCCCCTCGCCCGCCCCTCCCCCACAGGTGGGCATATTCCTGCGGTTTATGGCGCAGTTCGTGGGCGGGTTCGTGGTGGCGTTCATCGCGGGGTGGCAGCTGACGCTCGTGATGCTGGCCGTGCTGCCGCTGCTGGCCGCGGCAGGCGCCGCGATGACGGTGATCGTGAGCAAGTCGTCCAACAAGGGCCAGGAGGCGTACGCTGCTGCGGGGACCATTGTGGAGGAGTGTGTCTCCGCTATTCGCACTGTCAGTGCCCGCCCTCTCTCCCGCCCTCTCCCTCTCTCCCCCTCATGCTTTCCCTACTCCTCTTTTCCCCTTGCTCGTCCTCCTTCTGTACTCCGCCTTTTTCCGCCTCCACTTTTGCCCCTCTTTCTTCCCGCCCTCGCTCTCTCTCTGTCGCTCTTCCCTGCCTTATCTCACCCGTCCATGCTCCCACATCTCCCACACGTGCGTTTGAGTCGACTCAAAGCACCCCTCCCACCCCTCCCACCCCTCCCACATTTTTGAGTCGACTCAAAAGTCAACTCGTTTGAGTCGACTCAAAGCACCCCTCCCACCCCTCCCACATCTCCCACATCTCCCACATCTCCCAGATCTCCCACATCTCCCACATCTCCCACATCTCCCACATCTCCCACATCTCCCACATCTCCCACATCTCCCACCCCTCCCACGCCTCCCACATCTCCCACCCATGTGCCCCAGGTGGCGGCATTCACGGGCGAGCACAGGGCAGTGCAGCAGTACACAGTGAAGCTCAACAAGGCGTTCCGAGAGGGCATGAAGCAGAGCGTTGGCGCAGCGGCGGGTATCGGGTTCACGGTGCTGATCATGTTCTCCTCGTACGCGCTCGCGCTGTGGTACGGCTCCAAGCTTATTGCCGACGCCAGCTACACCGGCGGAGACGTCTTCACAGTGCTCTTCGGGGTCCTTATTGGCGGCATGTGAGTGCGGTGGGAGGGAGGTAGTGAGGGAGGAGTAGCGAGTGCTCAGTGCCGATGCCAGCTACACCGGTGGAGACGTCTTCACGGTGCTCTTCGGCGTGCTCATTGGCGGCATGTGAGTGCTGTGGGAGGGAGGGACGGGGGGTGGAGAGGGAGGGAGCGAGGGAGGAGTAGCGAGTGTTTTTGAGAATTCTCAAAAATGACGTGCTCTTGCCGTGCTCTTGGCGGCATGTGAGTGATGAGAGAGGGGAACGGGGGAGAAGAGGGAGTGGGGGGAGAGTAGGGAGTGGGAGAAGAGGGAGTGGGGATAAGTAGGTGTGAGTGCTCTTTGCCGTTTTCACCGTGGTGTTCAGGTTTCTCAGCTCCTGCCCGTTATCCCCCACCCCACTCCTCTCCTCTCCTCTCCTCTCCTCTCCTCTCCTCTCCTCTCCTCTGACCCCCGCAGGTCGCTGGGGCAAGCAGCCCCCAACGTGTCAGCCTTCGCCTCAGGGCAGGCAGCAGCCGGGAAGATCTTTGAGGTATTGGAGCGACAGCCGGTGATAGACAGCGGCAGCGCAGAGGGGGAGCGCCCAGCGGCGTGCGAGGGAGCGCTGGAGCTGCGCGAGGTGACGTTTGCGTACCCGTCGCGGCCAGACGTGCCCATATTCCAGAGCTTCAGCCTGGAGGTGCCGGCGGGGCGGACCATGGCGCTGGTGGGGGAGAGTGGCAGCGGCAAGTCGACGGTGGTGGCGCTGGTGGAGCGCTTCTACGACCCGCAGAGCGGAGCCGTGCTGCTGGACGGCCGCAGCATCGCCGCTCTCAACCTGCGCTGGCTGCGCCAACACATGGGGCTCGTCAGCCAGGAGCCAGCGCTCTTCGGCACGAGCATCCGCCAGAACATCGCCTATGGCAAGGAGGGTGCCACTGATGAGGAGATCCGAGAGGCCGCACGCCTTGCCAAGATCCACCACTTCATCTCCTCGCTGCCCAACGTACGTGCGCCCTCTCCCTGGCTCGATTCTCTCTCTTCCTCCCTTCCTCCCTTCCTCTCTCTCGTGCTCTTTCTTGCAACCCCTAATCGCCCTCATGTGCCTCCCTTGCACCCCACACGTGCCCTCTTCCTTGTCTCCCATGAACACCTGCTCGCGTCCTTTGCTTCATCAGTCTCTCTCCTCCTCACTCTCCCCTTCCGCCTCCCATGCCCCTCCTGGGCCCTGGCCCAACCTTAACCTCCCCTTCCCCACCCCCACAGGGCTACGAGACGCAGGTGGGGGAGAGGGGAACGCAGCTGTCGGGGGGGCAGAAGCAGCGGGTGGCGATCGCGAGGGCGATTCTGCGGAATCCGCGGGTGCTGCTGCTGGACGAGGCGACGTCCGCTTTGGACGCGGAGAGCGAGCAGGCGGTGCAGGCGGCGCTCGATGCGCTCATGGGCGCGCGCACCACGCTCGTCGTCGCGCACCGCCTCTCCACCGTGCGCCGCGCGTACTGCATCGCCGTGCTGCAGCGCGGGCAGGTCGTCCAGACCGGCACCCATGCCGCGCTGCTCGCCCAGCCTGAAGGCGCCTACGCCCAACTCGTGCGCCTGCAGCAGCTGGCGGATCCGGGCCAAGGGGAGGGGGAGGAAGGAGGAGATGAGAAGGGAGAGGCGGTTGTGAATAGGGAGGGGAAGGAGGGTGTAACTTCGAGCGCTTTGCAAACAGTTGCGGAGAATGGGAAGGCAGCGGGAGCAAGGGTGGCCCCGGTTGAGGGTGCTAGTACTGTTGATGGGGAAGGTGTTGGTGGTATGAAGAAGGCGGGAGGGGACGAGGAGGATGGGTTGATGAGCGAGGGGAGAGATGTGGAGAGCGGTGCGGGGGAGAAGCAGGGTGAGAAGGCAGGCAGTGGGGGCTTTTTCAGCTCACTGCTGCGGAAGCGCAAGGGAGGGAACGGCGAACGGAAGGCAGGGAAGGCAGGGGAGGAAGGGGAGGGAGGGGACGGTGAGGAGGGCGAGGAGAAGAAGAAAGTGGCATTCAAAGACACGCCAATGGCTCGTCTGGCCATGCTGAACAGGCCCGAGTGGCCGTATGCCATCCTCGGATCCGTCGCAGCAGCCGCTCACGGCGTGATCATGCCATTCTTCGCGCTCATCCTCTCCAACATCATCACCACCTTCTACAACCCAGACATCTCCCAGATGCGCAGCGACGCGAATTTCTGGGCGGGCATGTTTGTGGTGCTGGGCGCGAGCGCGTGCGCGGCCATCGCGTGCCAGACGGTGCTGTTCGGTGTGGTGGGGTACTCGCTGATTCGGCGCGTGCGCGCGCTCTGCTTCTCCTCTGTGCTGCGGCAGGAGATAGGGTGGTTTGACATGGATGAGAACTCCAGGTGAGTCGTCGCCCGTGTCGCTTTCCTTGTCTCTGGTTCTGCCTCTCTAGGTGTCTATCTGTCTGTCTCTGTCTGTCTCTGTCTGTCTCTGTCTGTCTCTGTCTGTCTCTGTCTGTCTCTATCTATATCTGTCTGTCTCGGTCTGTCTCTGTCTGTTTCTGTCTGTCTCTGTCTCTCTCTGTCTGTCTGTGTCTGTCTCTGTCTGTCTCTGTCTATCTCTGTCTGTCTCTGACTAAATACCACCCTGTCCCCCCTCCTCCCACCAGCGGTGCCATCGGTGCGCGCCTCTCAACAGACGCGGCGCAGGTGCGGGGAATGGTGGGCGATCAGATGGCGCTGATGGTGCAGAACCTAGCAACGGTCATCCTGGGCCTCGTGCTGGCGTTCCGAGCCAACTGGCAGCTGTCGCTCGTGATTCTCGCCATTGTGCCGCTGCTGGCTATCACTGGCGCTGCTCAGATGCAGTCGCTCAAAGGCTTCTCTGAAGACGCCAAGGTGCGCTGTGCTGTGCTGTGCTGTGCTGTGCTGTGCTGTGCTGCCACGGATGGTTGGTTTTTATGGGATGGTGTAATGTATGGGAGGGATGAGAGCGGGAAGGAGGTGGAGGGGGAGGAGAGAGAGACTAGGAGCCAGTTTCTCATACAGGGTTCTTCCAATGGCACTATCTTGTCTTGTCTTGTTCCAGGGCTCTGCCTGTGTCTTCCGTGCTTGCTTGTTCCTTGTCTCTGCAAGTTTGTTCCTTGTTCAAAACTCGACTCCTGTTGGCATCTCCTCCCATGCTCCACGCGTGCCAGGTCAAGTTTGAGGAGGCGTCGCGGGTGGCGAACGACGCGGTGGGTGCGATGCGGACGGTGGCGGCGTTTGGAGCGGAGCAGCGCGTGCAGGAGCTGTACAACGAGCGCTGCAGCACGCCCATCCGCGCCGGCATCCGCAAGGCGCACGTCAGCGGCATCGGCATGGCCGTGGCTCAGTTCTCCATCTTTGGCGTCTACTCCCTCGCATTTTGGTTCGGAGGGAAGCTTGTACAACAGGGGAAAACCACGTTTCAAGACGTTTTCCAGGTGGGTGGTTTGAGGCTGGTGTGTGGGGTGGCAAGTGACGCGGCCAGCTGTTTTGCTTGTTTTCACCATGCTGCCTGCCTTCCAGAAAAAAATCGTCCTTATTCATTCTCTCTTTCAAGTTTGCTTCCTCTTGATCTCTTGCTTTTTTGTGTGTTCTCTTGCTTCCTTTCTGGCCTGATCCCTTTTCCTTTACCACCACACACACACGCACGTACACAACATGCACCCTTTGTTTCCTTTCCAGGTCTTCTTTGCGATTGTGTTCACAGCAACAGGCATCGCCCAGGCAGCAGCACTGGCCCCCGACATGCCCACGGTGCAAGCAGCAGTGAACTCCATATTCCGCATTTTGGACCGCCAGTCAAAGATCGACCCGGAGGCGGGAGGGGAGGAGCCCGAGGAGGTGCTGGGCGAGGTGCAGTTCCACGCCGTGTGCTTCGCGTACCCGGCTCGACCCAACATCCCCATTCTTACCGATTTCAACCTGACTGTGCCGTCCGGTCAGGTGTGTGATGCTGATGCTGACGTGTGGCCATTCTTTTCCGACCGTGTGCAAAGAGGTTTGCATTCTGGCTACTATGCTTTTTCCTCCGCTGTTTATCATCCTGCCATGAATCAGATCCCATCCCAGCACCCCTTTCTCTTTCCCTCTCAACTGTCCCTCCAGAGTGCTTCCAGTGGTCCCTCCGGTTTCAAAACGACTTGTGGGTGTTGTCTTCCCCTCCTACATGCTCATTCCCTTGCTCTTCCCTCAACACCACCCCTCCCTTCCTGCAATTCCCCATGCTCCTCCTTTTTCTTTCCGCACCAGACGGTGGCGGTGGTGGGGGAGAGTGGCAGCGGCAAGTCGACGGTGGTGGCGCTGGTGGAGCGCTTCTACGACCCGCAGAGCGGAGCCGTGCTGCTGGACGGCCGCAGCATCGCCGCTCTCAACCTGCGCTGGCTGCGCCAACACATGGGCCTCGTCAGCCAGGAGCCAGCGCTCTTCAACATCTCCATCCGCGACAACATCGCCTACGGCCGCGCCGGCAGCGGCGGCGCCAGCGGGGGGGAGATCAGCGAGGCGGAGATTGTGGAGGCGGCGCGGGCGGCGAATGTGCACGGGTTCATCTCGGGGCTGCCGCAGGGGTACGCCACGCTGGTGGGGGAGCGAGGCGTGCAGATCTCCGGCGGGCAGAAGCAGCGCATTGCCATCGCTCGCGCCATCATTGGTGACCCGCGCCTGCTGCTGCTGGATGAGGCCACGTCAGCTCTGGATGCGGAGAGTGAGAAGGTGGTGCAGACAGCACTGGAAAAGGTCATGAAGAATCGCACCACTATAGTCGTTGCCCATAGGTTGTCTACGATCAAGGATGCGGATTGTATTGTGGTGATGCAGAAGGGGGTGGTGGTGGAGCAGGGGAAGCATGATGAGCTGATGGCTGGTGGAGGGGTGTACTCCAGTCTTGTTTCGATAAAGTAGTTGTCTGCTACCAGAAGGGGCTTATGTCCCATCGCATATTGTTTTCTGCTTAATTTGTCTATTTGCTTTTAGCGTTGTTGCGTGTTTTAGCTGCTGTTGGAGCAATTAGGCAAGTATGGTGTAGCCTGTTGCGTTCACAATGTTATCTGTATTACCGTAATATATCATTCAGTAAGATAAGCCAACCCACATCTATACACCACTCCCATCCCAGCGTACCACACCCCACCCTCTCCAACCATCACAAATCAGAATCAAACCCCACATTCCAGAATCCAGGCGGGGTGGACGGCGGTGCAAAGCGGTATCGGTGCCGAGACGCCTCTTGGTGCTGCTCACAGCGGGGCACCATCACACCGTCCACATCCCCGTCCAGAATAGCATCGTAGAACTTGCGGCACGTCTCACACTCGCCTGCCTGCAGCGCCTCACGGTCTGATTTCTTCCGAACCACGTCCACGTATTTGTACGGTGGGGGAGGCCCGCTGGCTCTGCCCAGCCGGCTGGGTGCTAGTGCGTCGAACGCTGATGCTTCTGCTGTTGCTGCTGCTGCTGCTGCTGCTGCTGCTGCTGCTGCCTCGCCTGGTGCTGGCTCGCCCCTGGCTGCTGCTCGTATGCTTGCTGCTGTTCGTCTTGTACCTTCAGGAAATGCTGCTGCTGTTGCTGCAGCTGCTGATGCTGATGCTGCTGCTGCTGGCAATGCACCGCCAATAATCTTATTAACACCACTTCCATCACCACCACCACCACTTCCACTCCCATCGCCACAACCACCAACACCACCGCCAACAGCACCACCACCACTCCCTCCTTTCGCTCCGCCCTCCTCTCTTCTCCCACCCTGCTTCCTCACTCCATTCGCACCCGCACCAGCACCACCGCCACCGGCAATCCTATCCCATGCAGCCCTTTCTGGTGAGTCCAACAGATCAATGTCACAGTTGCCCATACCTGCAGCACCAGTGCCGCCTGCCGCTGCAACCGTGCTGCTGCCGACTGTCTTGGCACACCTCCAACGTGACTTCTTCACCCCTCCCTGCTGTTTCTCTCCCAGTTCTGCTGCTGTCCCTGCAGTTCGGGGAAGGGGCGGCCGCCCAGGTAAGACCTGCGCTTGCAGTGCTTGCGGTGGCAGTAGCACTTGTGCTGGTGGTTGCAGTTGTGGTTGCACCTGTGCTTGTGGCTTATCTTGCTGCTGAGTCTTCATGCCTGTTTTCTTGAACCTCTTATGCCCTTTGCCTGACTCACCAGCACCACTTGCTCCTAAACCAACCGTGTTAATAGCAACCACTTCTGCTGTCGTTGCTCCATCATTCGCCCCTCGTTTCTTCCTCTCGCTGCTCTGCCGCACAACAGCAGCACCAACAGCACCAAGTGCACCCCTTGCCCCGTCTTCCTCGTCCATGCCATCCAAATCCAACAGCACCTGCCCCTGATCCCCTTGCCTCTGCCGCACCAGCCCCTGCTCCTGCTGCTCCTTCTGTCCCTCCTCCTCCTCCTCCTCCTCCTCCTCCTGCTGCAACGAATTTTGCCGATCCATACTGTCGCCATCCCACAGCATGTTTTGCTCTAATACCTCCAGCTCCTGCTCCTTCCCCTGCTCGCGCTCCTGCTCCTGCTCCTGCACATACTGTTTGCTCTCATTCCCCGCCTGTTCCATCTGCTTCTCCTCCTCCTTCCTTCCCGGTTGCTGTTTCGCCTGTGGCAGGCTACCTAGACCATGTGTGAAGGAGCGAGAAGCAGATTGGGCAGCAGAGCCGGTACGAGTGGCCCATGAAAACTTTTCACCAGAAACAGTCCCACGTATGCTGCTTCCTGCATAGACTGAGGACTTCCTACCCAACTTATCATCTCTTCCCCCGCCAGCAGCATCAACGGAACCACCAGAATTAACACCAGCACCAGCAGAAGCAGAAGTAAGCACGGCAGAACGCCTGGAAGCATTGCCACGCTGCCTGCTTCCTCCTGAGAAGTGACGTGCAAGACATGTCTGCTTTAAAGCTCCGCCTTGCTGCTTCTGTGAAGACTCCCCATCCCCTCGCCCGCGCCACACCCTCCCACTACCAACTCCATCTCCACCGCTGCTGCTCCTGCTGCTGCTGCTGGTACTGCTGCTCCTCCTCGCACGTGCACTGCCACCAATCACTTCCTCTCCTGCTGCACCGGAATCCCTCACTGCTCCAGCCCCATCCGCCCCTGCTGCTCCAGTCCCACCCTCCCCTTTCGCCTCTGCATGCACACCCACACCCACCGCATGCCCCACTACCACACTCACTGCACCTGCGCCCTTGGAAGCAACAAGCAGATCTCCAATCACAGCCAAATCAGCAGCCACCCGTGTCTCAGCCTCGTCTCGATAAAAAATCTCGTCTCGATACTGCCCCATACTCTTCATCTCCCCGGAGCGTTTCCCCATCACCTCGAGATTCACAGCAGACTCACCACCACCCTGGTATTTTCCCGTCGCACCGTGCTTCCGCTCCAAGGCAGCCATGGTTGCTGCAGCAGCCGCAGTGGCACTGCTGGGTGTGCAGCTATCCCCCTCCGGCAGCCCATCACTCCCCTTCCTTTGAGAATCGAGCACATGGTGGTCCTCTTCCGAGTCAGTATCGCTTGCATCAATGTCATCATGCTGCTCTTTCAAGCCTCGCAGACATTTCCCCTCCTTTTCGCTCCCCTTCCCTGCCTCTGGGAACGCACTCACAGCAGCAGGTACACCAGCAGCGCCGTCGCCATGCTTTGCCGGCTCAACTCTCCTCCTCGCTCCTTCCAACCTGCCCGCCGCCCTCTGGCCGCCACTCTCCTCCTCAGCCGCCTGGGGCACAGAAATCCCAGCAGCATCAGTGGGCGCTCCAAATCTCGAAACAGAGGCCGAAACGCCACTACCATATGGCAATCCAACCTTGATCGCTTCTTCACTGCCAAGCCCTTGTCTGGTGTCGACACATCCCTCCTCCTCCTTCCTTTCCTCCTCCTTCCCCTCCTCCCCCCCATCCTCCTCCTCTTCCGCCTCCTCCTCCACCGCCTTATCCTCGGCACCTGTAGGGATCCGTACTTTCGACCTCCATCCACTCTTCACCCTCTTTTCCATCCCAACAGGATTATCAACCAGTATCAGGGAGAGGCTTTTTGACTTGCCATCCAGACCGTTCTCCCCGTCGCCTTTGAACCGTTCTCCCCTCCCGGGCTCCTCCAACTGAGTACTTGCGCGTTTCCCGCCGCCTTCACCGCCGTTCTCGCCGCCTTCACCGCCGTTTTCGCCGCCTTCACCGCCGTTCTCGCCGCCAACTTTCGCATCTCCAGGCGGCCCTTCCTCGCGGAGAGATCCAAGCTCGCGCTTGATACACGGGTACAGCGAGCGGCAAAAAAGCCGCCGCACGCGATCGCTGGCCTCTCGCGCCGCTTCCATCGCGCTGATCAGCTCCGAGATCTGACGGTCCAGCTCCGGGGAAAGGCTTTGGCGGTCCGGCAATTCGGGGAGAGGTGCAGTGGAATGCGGATACTCTGGTGGCTGAGGTGATGCGACCGCGGGACAAGCCATCGTGGGTAAATTGGTTGGATGGGAGAGGCGACCGAAGAGGCGACGGGACGGAAATGACACTCAGCAGTGGGAGGGTTAAAGTTGACGCAGGTAGTTGCGACACGCAGCGCAAACGCAGGGAAGGTGCTGACAATGGTCTTGGCTGTGGTGCGATGCTGGAGAATTGGGGTCAAGTCACGAGAGTGAGTGAGAGGGGACTGGCTTTTTGCTGCGGGATGGCCTCGAGAAAGGATTTTACATCCAAAGCACAACCCCCTTGACCTTCGAGAATCCCGACTAGTTATGACTCGGTTTTGTACGGTTCTGCATAACACGTCTTCATAAAAAGGGCGGAAGAAGCAGGCGGTGCCCGTGGGAGGGGGATGGGTAGGGAAGGAGTTGTTTTGGGATTGTCACCAGGGTTTAAGGGCGTGTAAAATTGTAACGACCAAACGCTATGGTCGATCATTTGGGCGTTTCTGGCGATTGCGAGGAAATAGGGTTACGCTGATTGGAGTAGTCACCCCAATCTGACCGATTTTCATTGGTAATTTCTGAACAGAAATTTACGCACCGCATTTTGGGACACGCCTAAACTAATGCTCAGAGGGGAGATATTTTTTCCGTTTACCTAGACTCGCTGCTTTGGTAAACACTCTAGTCTAAGCTTCAGACCACCCTTATTCCACACCCCCGCCGAATGGAGTAGGAAATCAAACATTTTCATTTTTTATTAAGGGGGTGGATGGGGCTGGTTGCCCCAAATGGTGACGAAATTTGTGGCGGGGTTCGTTTGAGTGTTACATATTTCGCACTCGCCAGAAACGCCCAAATGATCGACCTTAGCGTTTGGTCGATACAGTTTTCCACGCCCTAATTTGAGGTGGCGTCACCTTCACGACGACTTGCTTCCCCCAGAAGGAAGTTCATGACATCCTCGTACTGTATGCCGACGACGTGGCCTCGCGGACAGCTGGGGTTTGGTGGGCTTTTGAAAACTTGAAGTTGCAGGTCTGTACCCGTTCTAGCAAAACTCAATGAAATAGCAAACCACCAAGCTTCAAACTGGAAAATGGGCAAAACAACTTCTAGAGCTAATATAACCCTTTTTCAACTAAATGATGCCATACATTATTATAAAAAGGGATGTTTTAGCCTGATAAATTTATTTCACCGCAATAAAAAAAATGTGCAGATTTATCATCTACCGACACTACCACAGCTTGAGACTTTGACATAACACAACGGGTTAATGCTATAAAGGCATAGTGCTGGCGTAGGGATATCATTTTGTAAAACAGTTAGAATAGGGAGCTTTCAATTGAATGGATTTATTATTGCAGTGTCAAGTAGAACTGCTCGTAGTAGTACCCAATTGTGAAAGCTTTGCTTAGGGTACATTCCGCTGTGGACAAATGTCCCAATCGATGTGTCCCAATCGTTTCTACCGCACTGCATCGTATTACACCAAATTGCACCCTAGTTTCGAAATTTTCGCATCTCTGGTTTAGTTCGGTTCGGAGCGGTACACTCGATTGGGACACATCGATTGGGACATGTGTCCACAGCGGAATGTACCCTTAGAGCGTATTCCTATCCTCGTATCAAGAAAACCTCATATCAAGATTGTACTTTTTGCCTGGTAAAAGTAGCGAGAGGTTTTGGGTTTAGGGGAATTTTCGGTGGGAGGTTGATATGAGGTTTTCTTGATACGAGGATAGGAATACGCTCTTAGTCCATCTTGCAAAGGCAGCGTGCTTCATTCCAAATTAGAAGTTACAACGTTCTCGTCCATCAATGATACACAATGGGGTGGGTGGTGGGAAAGTAAAACTAGAAATTGGAAATGAAGAACGTGGGTGGAGCTACTGAAATCACGTTCCTCTTTTGTAGGCAAAAGAGGGGTGGGTAGCGTCGAGCTGCTACCTTTGCTGCGTTGGCCACGTCCTCGCTTTCACAATACGAAATTTGAAGAAGTGTTACACTTTTAAAATTTATAATCTCTAGTTATGGTACTATCAACATATTGATATTGCATATTTATAAATTTGCCTTGCATTCTCTTGCATATGATTGCCCTCCCTCTTTATAGGGAAATTACCCTGGAATGGTGGGGTGTCTTTGAGAAGCATTTGGGAGCGTAAAAGTATCAGTCGGGTGTATTGGGTAGATGACAAGTTCTTTTACATTATTTCATGTGATGTGGAGGCAAAATGAGGTTCTCTTTAGAGGGTGTCTGCCTTATCACATCCCCTTTTTCGTTTCGTCTTTCTATGAACAGTGCACTTTTTTCTAGACAAAATGCGGCGCTGCGAATTTCTGTGTTTTGTCCGTATCATACCGATCGAGATTTCCCTGCAGATGCGGACATCAAAACATATCGGCACTGCTTGCAGATTCTGGATGACTTGTCACCCGCGTGCCGAAGATGATGTGCCAGCTTTAGCGGCATCGGCTGTCTCACCTGCGCAGCATTGACACTGTACTCGTCTCGTGGGGTTTCGTCGGCAAAGGCCTCTCGTGAATGACATCAGGCCACGTGTGTTCTCCTTGAAGAAACTGGGCCAGGCCAGCTGCCTGGCTGACAGTGCCAGATACTGTGGACATTTGGTCGAATCAAGCGAAGTATTGCTGACGCGCAGCGTCTTACCTCGAAACACCTTTTTTTTTGTCAGAACACAGCAGCCCATGCATGCTGCCAACGGAGACGTAGGGTTCCTATGATTCTAGGGTGTGCAAGCAGCTTGTTGTGGTACGTAGTGTTTTGTTACTACACCCTCATTCTCGATAGACTGGCATATGTTATACTGACCGAGACGCTTAGTGTAGCCGCACCGGACCAAAGAAGGTCCTATCACGTGCGTTACAGTGACAATTTGACCCAGGGCGTTTAGTCAAGGTTTTCTACGTTCTACAATGGTACTGTTGTTTTCAAAGCGGTCAGGACGGTTATTCAACGTTAATGGTTTTTTACGGCCCAAGGCGTGTTTCAAACCCTCGTGCGACTTTGCCCGCAACCGACTTATCTCACCAGCCCGCTACGTCCAAACACTGTAGCCAGTGCTTCCGCCGGTGAGAGAGGTGAGAAAGAGGGTGTAGCATCATAGTGGAGCATCGCTTGACGAATTAACACCGACCTGGACGTTTGCCTCGCACAAGGTGCGTTTCTAGAATCTGTGTCTGAAACATTGGCTAGACCCAATGCGGCGCCTCTTGGATTGCATTGCAAGCGGAAAATCAGAAGCAAATCGTCGAAGTTGGAAATGGCGGCGCTCGATCTGGACCTCAGCCACCTGAAATGAATACCCAAGGTTGTAATTTTTATTTTCCTTCCCCATGAAGGAATGCCGATGTTCCAACTATCAATGCTATCTACAGCGTCGCGAGAAGGCCGCCTCTGAGTACACCTGATGCCCGTTTGAGTCCCCCTTACTTGGGTTGTGCTCTGGGCTTATAAACGTTTTAGGCATTTCGCCCAGTTCGTTCCATTTCGCCAGGGTGTTGAGGTGCTTCTAAAAAACACATGTTGTAACTAGTTTGTTTTTTCCAAAACAGTGCTGGTGGGCCTGTGTTGTTGTCAGTTCAGGGTTTTGGGTTTATGCTTGTTTCTGGCCAAGAAACAAGAACCTACCGGGTCAGCATGGTTTGTTTTGCGCCTAAGATTCATACTTTGGCGTTTTCTCGCCCAAATGCAAGTTGATCCGCGTGCCTATAACCTGGGTGCAACTGAGTGGGAAAAAAAACACGGGTGCAGAGTTTCTAAAATGTGCCGGGCAAATTCGCGCGCAGTGGTTGGGCATCATGTGTAGCCTTCACAAGTTCACAAACCTACAGTAGGTACCAGACCTAGGTTTCAAGACCCGGGCGGAGAAACCATTAGAATCCAATCCTGCATTTAGGCTTCCTTCACCGCCCGCGGCAGTGACGTGCCTGGACACTCCCATCCATTTTGTCAGAACTAAGTTCCATAGGAGGCATCGTACGTCGTACCATGTATATGGTTTGTCCCCCGCAACTCCGAAGGGGTAGGTTACTCGGGGTCAGTGGCAAAACTAGTTCCTTCTCGGAGGCCGGGATGGAATGGAAGATTGCGGTGGTTGAAGGCACGGTGACGACTCGTCGCCCATCGGATGGGCGTGCCAGCGATGGTCGAGGGAATAAGTCAAGGCATCAAGCAGAGTGTAGGATGGAAGATAGTGTGGTAGCCGTCGGTTAGCGACAGGTTGGCGTATGTATATGTCAAAAAAAAAAAAAAAAAAAAAAAAAAAAAAAAAAAAAAAAAAACGACAGGTTGGCGTGGAACTGTACACGTAATCGATCGACTAAAGTACCACACGCATCGCATGATGCCGATCGATTCAGACGATCGGGTTATCAAGATCAGGTCCGTCCCCGACTTCCCGACCCACACACACGATACCTGATGTTTGGAGGCTCGCACACACGAGGGGAGTCGTTTTCACGTTTCTGCGAGTTGCTCCTTGCAGTAGCCGCGCCAGCCTTGATGTCGCCAAATGCTAGCCTTTCCTCTCCAACAGACGCTTCGCTACTCATCGTTCCTCGATGGTACATTATCCTCAGTTCAGATTATCATCCGCGGACTATCCGTAGGCATCCCGGGCCGTACGTCTCTGCAAGTAGCGTAGTCGCCTTATCATTACTACTACTACTGCGAGGGCTCTCGATGAAGCGAGCGGACGATCAATTCGCAAAGAGCGATCAAGCTGATTACCTAGTAGGGGGTCCCGACAGCAAAGCTCGAGCCGAAGAGTTATCCTCTCATGAAAACCTTCCCCTAGGATCTTCCGAAGGCCCGTTACCGAGATCCCTATCAGTTCCTATCTCGGTCGGCGATATATCCGTTGGACGCGACCAGATACTACTACCGTCTGACTCGTCCTTCCCACCGTCCATGTCCTTAACTGCCTTTGTAAATACCTCTCCGAGCGGCTCGTCCTTTCTTGTACCCTCGATTCCGCTCTCGTTTCGCGAAACTAACACAGGTTGTCTAAATCCCGAAC